TTATAAGTTGTTCCTGAATGGAGATGATGGACCATTCCATCTCCCAACGCTGTCCCACACACGCGTTCGTAAAAAATTCTAGTCTTTTAAATACTAAAATCTAGATTTTGCTATTTTTATTTAACTAATAGAGTCATTGTATTTTTTTCTATTTAATTCAAAGTCGAGTCATTGCAATTTTCTTGTTAAATTAAAAATCGAGTCTTTGCCATTTTTCTATTAAATTAAATTAAAAATCGAGTCTTTGCAGTTTTTTTATTAAATTAAAAGTCGAGTCATTGCAATTTTTTTATTAAAATAAATTAATAATCGAGTCATTGCATTTTTGAAGTATATAAATTAGAGTTTTGTCTTTGATGTTTTTCATTAAATTAGAGTCACGTTCTATTCGTTTAAATTGTGTGGACATCCATGGATTGCTGCAGCTTGCACAAATAATGCAATTGAGTACAACGATGGAAAAAGAGGACATTCCTGCATTTAAGAATGCAGATATGAACACAAAATAAAGGTTTCATCATTTAGAATGATTCAAATTGAATTAATAAACACACTAATCTTTCAAAGTATATAATAAATAAATATTTTAAATATTTCAATATATATATATATTTTTCATTATTCATTTCAATTCAATATATTTCAATTGTTTTCCAAGATATAATAATTTATTGAATATACATAATGTAATGTATTTTTTATTACATCCTAATAGTTACCAGACTCTTGTTTTCACTTTGCTTTACATAGTTTTTTATCCTATTTATACATTTCTTTTTTATTGAATATATGATCATTGATTTTTTTTTTAATAGTAACAAATTAATAAAAAGAAAATTTGAATCATTTTTATTGAATGCACTGAAGAGTGCATGTGAAAATCGCAGTAAGTACATGCCCGCACTGAAAAGTGCATATGAAAATCGCAGTAAGTACAAACATACCTGCTAAATGCAGATAAATATAATTGCTAAATGCAATCAAACATACCAAAAATCGCAGTAAGTACAAACATACCTGCTAAATGCAGTTGAATATAATTGCTAAATGCAATCAAACATACCAAAAATCGCAGTAAGTACAAGCATACCTGCTAAATGCAGTTGAATATAATTGCTAAATGCAATCGAACATACCTGCTAAATGCAGAATAATATAATTATGGCAGCCAGCACTCATAAGTGCATATTAATATGTCCAGAACATACATTTTCATTCCAAAATTATTTATAAATAAATACCAAATGAATAAATTAATGAATTTATAAGAGAGAGTGGGAGCAAGTATTTTTACTATATATAGATATTTAAAGACAAATTTTACTAGTGATGTATGGAGAAATAATAATGAGTAGTATATATATGAAGATGATTAATAYATTTTTTTTATTTATTATATATAAAAGTAGAAAAATTAGTTTTTTGGAATAAAAATGTATAGTTTTGGTACATAAATGAAACAATTTAAAAGGCTTGCCTGCACTTAAAAGTGCATATGAA